TTTCATTGCTTGTCTTTTTAAATTTCACATTGTTTTTGATCGATAGATTACTTCTAAACTATATTTTCTCTCTAACAATATCGCTTTTCTTTGTACTAGAAGTCCCGCAGTAGTCGAAATTCGACTATAATTAATTGGAATTGTAAGTTTGTACACTATTATGATTGTATTTTATACTTCTATAATCACAAATTTCGCCAAGACTACACTATTAAAAATATTAACAAAGACAAACCATATTCTATTCTCAATTTGTCAAAATCTTTCTTTCTTTCTTTCTTTCTTTCTTTCTTTCTTTCTTTCTTTCTTTCTTTCTTTCTTTCTTTCTTTCCTAAAATAAATTAATTCACACTACTACGATAGTTAGATAGTTGATCACATGTGTCATGGCGGGTCATGACGTTTAAATTCACGCATTAGCCATAGGCTCTTTTAAATCTTCACGACTTTACTATATATATAGATTTAGAATGCAGTTGGTTTTCCAAATTGTCCATCACACAAAATTTACATTAGATCAAATTAGTATATAGGTATATACATACACAGAGACGGTGCGATCACCTGTGAGGTCCGGTGAGGTGAGCCAAACTCGGCTCAGTGGTGTGGTTTGAGAAAGGCTTATGTCCAGCAGTGGGCGACTGTGGGCTGATGATGATAATGATGATACCTCTTGTGAGTTCGCGCGGGTAGGTACCACCACCTTGCCCTTTTTCTGCCGTGGAGCAGTAATGCGTTTCGGTTTGAACGGTCAGCCGTGAGACCTTAGAATTTATATCTCAAGGTACGTGGCGCATTTACGTTGTAGATGTCTATGGGCTCCAGTAACCACTTAATAGATGGTCCAGCCATCTAAGCAAAAAAAAAAATCAAAGATGACTACAACCAGACAAAGGTCTGTGTTATCGAGCACTGCATTAAGAACCTGTTTGTAATATTACTCTGAAACACGAATGCAAGTCCACGTGTTTTATTAACGCTATTAACGCTATTAACATGACCGCTGACATGTTAATAGCTGTAAGAATACAACAGAACTAAACATTAATCTGATACTGTTTTTTTGACTACTTAATTAATCAATTTAGATGTGGCAGACAAGATTCTAAGTTCTAAAATACCTTGTTATATCTAAAAGTGAACTCCAAGGGTTGCTTCTAGCAAAAAATAGACCAATTAAATTAATTGGAAGGATCGTTCTTTTTTCTGTACGAAAGCAAAAAATAAAATGTTGCGATTTCATACTTTCTCCATGATAACTTTAACTTTGTATTTGAATAATAACTATCTACGTAATGATTTGTTGTAAAAGCAGTCGGAGTAATCTAGTATTTTATATTTAGAAAATAAAATCGAGCGAGAAATGTTTGCTACTACATTAATAACAAGATAAATATTTTGTTCGATTCACAACTTTAAGATTAATCAATTTGTATAACAACATGTTTAATACTAATTTTGTGAATAAGAAATTTTTTAAGCATATCACAACGCGTATACTACTAGACGCTGGAGGCTGTAGTCTCAATTGTATTATAAAAAAGGTCAGAGTTATATTTTGAAAAGCAATATTGAGAATTTGTGAATGTTATGGATTTTCTTGTAAATTCTCATTTGCGGTTTCCGCTCAACTCTTCGTTTTTTTTTATTGCTTTGTTGGGTGAACGAGCTCCGGCTCACCTGGTGTTAAGTGGTTACCGGAGCCTTGGACATCTACAACGTAAATGCCGCCACCACCATGACTTCTAAGGTCTCAGTATAGTACAACGACTGCCCCGCCCTTCATACCGAAACGCATTACTGCTTCACGGTAGAAATAGGCAGGGCGGTGGTACCTACCCCTGCGGACTCACTAGACGTTCTACAACCAGTAATGATAATCTAATAGTTGCTAGCAAGCCCTCCCTAATGAGCTCTGAAGTTTGACCATACAACCTAATTCTGCGGCAAGAGATCCGGACCTCAATTATTCCACACAAAAAAAAAAGCCACTGCCTTATAATAAGTACCACGAAAATCCCTTGTTATATTTACTCACATTTGTAATAAGCAACAAAATAAATGTTTCTTTCAATTTCGAGCAATATCATTTATTTTTATCTCTAAGTTCACAGGTCACGCAAAATTGCAGCATTTATTGGGTGGACTCAGTGAACATCAGCTTGACATTAAGATAGTAGTAAGATAATGTTTGAAATAAATCAACTTTTTTTTGTTTTTGTTTTTTTTTTAATAAAGGATTACTGGTGGCCCGGAGGTGTTTCCAATCTCACCAGTATAGGTGGGCAAGCAAAGGCTCAGTTAAGAGTGGTGGGATTTTCTAATAACCGTCCGAGGCCCTCCAAAGGAGACCTAACAACTCAGGAGCGGGTGCTTCGCGAATTAATCTACCGAATCGTTATCGCGACCCGCTGAGAAGATCCGGTGAGAAACTCAGCGGGATGATGTATGGGTTAGGTTGCGCGTCGACCTCTTTATCGAGTTCGACGAGTACCGAGTTAACGGGCTCCCTAAGCCAACAAGTCTAATCCCTAAGTCTGAAGTCGTCGTGGCCTAACGGATAAGACGTCCGGCGCATTCGTGTTGAGCGATGCACCGGTGTTCGAATCTCAGGCGGGTACCAATTTTTCTAATGAAATACGTACTCAACAAATGTTCACGATTGATTTTCACGGTGAAGGAATAACATCGTGTAATAAAAATGAAACCCGCAAAATTATAATTTGCGTAATTACTGGTGGTAGGACCTCTTGTGAGTCCGCGCGGGTGGGTATCACCACTCTGCCTATTTCTGCCGTGAAGCAGTAATGCGTTTCGGTTTGAAGGGTGGGGCAGCCGTTGTAACTATACTTGAGACCTTAAAACTTATATCTCTCAAGGTGGGTGGCGCATTTACGTTGTGGATGTCTATGGGCTCCAGTAACCCCTTAACACCAGGTGGGCTGTGAGCTCGTCCACCCATCTAAGCAATAAATAAAAAAAACATCTAGGGTTAGAGCTGAAGACGTCAAATGCATGAGCTATTGGATTTGATGGATCCGTAAGGATGCGATAAACCTACTTAGTTTGAAGAAGGAGTTTAAAGACGTAGTTTCAAATGTGACGGTAGCCATCACACAACACAAGATATTAGACAAACACCTGCATCTCGCTTACGACATTTTCAAGATAAACTTGCATAATTATATATAAGTTCGGTACAACAACTTTTCGACCGTCGGTCTACCGAGCAATATCACCCGCTCGGTGGAAGATCTTCCCTTCCGTCGTTATCTCTACACAAATGATCGTTATTCCTCAATCGCTGTACGAAACTTATCTTAGAACAGCGTAAATAACTTTTTTTTTTGCTTAGATGGGTGGACTAGCTCACAGCCCACCTGGTGTTAAGTGGTTACTGGAGCCCATAGACATCTATAACGTAAATGCGCCACCCACCTTGAGATATAGGTTCTAAGGTCTCAAGTATAGTTACAACGGCTGCTCCACCCTTCAAACCGAAACGCATTACTGCTTCACGGCAGAAATAGGCAGGGTGGTGGTACCTACCCGTGCGGACTCACAAGAGGTCCTACCACCAGTAAAAACTTCCTAGGACTGATAGCAAATTAGTATAAACTGACGACTGTCGTTCCTGTCAACAATAATGAAAGGGTTAACCGCTAGGTAGGCTAGGTTCAGAAAGGAGAAAAAAAGCTACGTAAATAGGTTCTATATTTATCGTGGGCTGAACGAATTGCTCAATGAAGAAACAGGATTGTTCAATGAAATTCTAAGACGCCAAGTTAATGGATTAGTGTAGATTACGTGATCGATTTGTCTTTTAATCTACGTATTTTATTCTGTAATTGAATATTATAACTCTGCCCGCGGGAATGCTACGTAAATATTGTTTGTTAAGTATTTTTGTTTTCTTTTGAAAAGAAAATAACTAGATTAGAAAATCTTGTTGACTTGTGGGCGTATTGTGAGCATAATAGATTCTGCTACCAACTTAATCGTCGAGCTTATGTCTAAAATCTCAGGGCAAAAGTTCTCAGCATAGCTACAACGGCTGCCCTACCCTTCAAGCCGAAACGCATTACTGCTTCACGGCTGAAATAAATAGGCAGGGCGGTGGTACCTACCCGTGCGGACTCACAAGAGGTGTTACCACCAGTAAGCTTTTCGTCAGCACTTTTCATCAGATGTCACAATTCGATTCAATATTCCTTCATTTCTGTATCGATTCAACAAGGCAACACAAGTTTCAACACGCGTTTCTTTCTGTAGATCAGTAAAAACATGAGGCATCCATTTTTCATATTTTTTATTTTATTGATTTAATGAGTCAATATTATTGGTAAGGTAATGTTAAACCATGCCGCAAATTCCTGGGTAGTTTGGCTCGGATCGGCTTCCACCATCTCTTTCAATTCATTGTTATTCATATGTGTGGGCGGTTATCCACGTGGTTCGTTCTTCAAATTAAAATTTCTATCACAAAGGCGTTTAAACCAAAATCGCAGGGTGCGTTAATTAGCAGTCCCCTCTCCAAAGGCAACATTGATATTGCGAGCTGTTTCTGCAGCGTTAGTTCCGCGTCGGAACTCGTGTTCAAATCAATTCAATTCAATTCAATAAGATTAATATTATAAAAAAACAACTGAAAGTCAATAATCGAATGTTGCACATTTTTTAAAAGAAGAACCTTATAGGTATCATTTGAAAGAAGTTTCACTCAAAAATTTCAAACCATGAAGGTTCTATGTCAATTCGAAGTACCTATTACAATAAAACGGCAATTTCATACTTTAACCCCTAATAGAGATAAAAAGGCCGGACTGTTTTATTACACCGAAACCTTTGTCTTATCATTTAAATGGCCATATGGCCCGGGTTCACATAGGACGGCGAACTAATTCGTCAGCATGTCGATATGTGTTTATCTGTAATTATACTTGTTGCACGTTCTAACCTAGGGCTTTCAGACGTCGCTTTCAGTTCAGTTGGTTTTGGATAACAGCGGCGGCGTGACGTGCGCTAGCGTACGCTAAAAATATAATAAAGAGTATAACTTATAACTTATCGAAAAATTCAATTCGTTTGTGATTCAGGGATTTGAATTGTGATTTTATTTCGTGTATATAACATATTTGTAATTGCATCGAGATGTCGCTGTTTTCAGTTCGAGTTCTGGATGTGATTTAGTGTGTTTTTGTGTCGAAACTTTTTGGTGGTGTGGTCGAGTACTTTTCTCTTAATTACAGGTAAGATTATTAGTTTCATATATCGTAAATTAATTTATTAATGCGTAATTTTTACCTTTGTGCGTAACGTAACGTTTGTGTGTTTCGGTAGGCAGTGGCTTGGCTCTGCCCCTGGCATTGCTGAAGTCCATGGGCCACGGTAACCGCTCACCATCAGGTGGGCCGTATGCTCGTCTGCCTATAAGGGCAATAAAAAAAAAACGTAATCAAAACGTAATCATGTTTAACAGAATTAAATAATAAACTTATTTAAAAAACTATATTTTAATATTGAAAAAATGTAACGAAACGGAAAAAAAAACTTGCAAAAGCTTAATACACTATTAAATTAGTATCTGTGTAATATCCCAGCTTAGATATCTGACCTCACGAAAGCTTTTATTTGTCACGACAAAGCTTCATCCAGGTCTAGACTAGCACGGTTACTTGGAAACATTTTTTTCTTTATTTTTGTTTTTTACGCTTCACATATTATACTGTTTTGAATATTATAGTATGTACAATGCCTTCCACCAATAGGTGTATTTTCAGGTTTTTCTAGGAGGAAATCATTGTATTTGAGTAGTTTACAGTTAAATTAAAAAAGAAAAGAAACTAACTGCTCCAGATATTATCCAAATAAAATAATCGACGGTATTATGGTTGAAATAAATCACTTTACAAGTGCGATTACAAGCTTTGATAGCAATCCTGTCAGAAACAAATACATATTGCACTATGTTATTAATTAAAAAATATATATTTTTAATTATTCATTAATTATTAATTAAAATGTATATAGTTTTATTAATATAAAGTCAAGAATACTCGAGTTTGTAGGATGACCCTAGGCGTAATGTCTTGTCCTTCAAAAGGAATAAGATGGGAGTCCTCAACTGTAATCAGCCTTGCTCCTACCATTGCTAATGCTCATGAGCAACGGTGACCACTCACCATCAAAAGGGCATTTAGTCTTCACGCACAGATTAAAGACCCTTATTACCACTGAAAGCAGAGTGATCAATTCTTTAAGTACTTTTAATACTAATATGAAAACTCAAGTAGAGCAGCGCTGTTTCCTTTGAAATCAAAGGCTAGTACATATTTTAATGCATAAATTAGATGACACATGTCATGTGTATGTGGAGTTGTCACTCTAAAATGATCCTTTAGATGTAAGCGTTAAGATCCAAATTACACATTCAGATTTTGGATAGCAACTTCAAAGGCTCAGGAGAAGTTTTGTCGCAAGGGACAAAAAGCATTAGATTTGTTTCTATATAAAAGTTTTGGATATGTTTTTTATAAAGCAATAACCCGACAGCGGAAGCGTAAAGGTGATTTCTGTTTATTTACTTAGTCATTTGGGTTAGAATCTTGACACTGTTCAACTCCGCATCTAAAATCTCCTAATCTTCGAACTCATATTTAGAGATATAGGTACACATTCGTATTAGAAAAAGTCCCGTAAAAATGTATAATACGTATATTAAAGCCATATAAAATTTAAGAATCATGTCATATTCTTCTAATTGCGAAACTTATTTTTTTAAATTTTTTTTAATACTTATATGGGTGGACGAGCTCACAGCCGACCCGGTGCCAAGTGGCTACTGGATCACATAGACATCTACAACGTAAATGCGCCATCCACCTTGAGTTATAAGTTCTAAGGTCCCTAATATAGTTACAACGGCTGCCCCACCCTTCAAACCGAAACGCATTACTGCTTCACGGCAGAAATAGGCGGGGTGGGCCACCACCTATCCGTGCGGACTCACAAGAGGTCCTACCATCAGTAAAAAACTTCAATTAAAGTGCAGTGTCTAAATCTTTATAAAAGATATCGTATGCGTGTTCGTATCTCCGGTACGAATACAGGAAAACGTAGTCTGAAGCTGTTCAATAAGGATAATTTGTTTTTATTTGATCGATTATGCTTTATTGTCACTATTGAAGCAATATGAACAAGAATTTTTTTTATTTTTTTTTTTATAGCTTAGGTGGGTGGACGAGCTCACAGCCCACCTGGTGTTAAGACGAGACCGTCATCACCGCCCTGTCTACGGATTTCAATAACTACGGATTCACCCAGTTACGGTTCACCGAAGTCTTTGTTCAGTTTTGCACTCCGTATCTAAGGAAATACAAAGTCGAACACATAAAGTGTATCAAAGTACATAGTTTGTATAAATTACGGAGGACCACCATGTGTGTGTTTTACGTATGTTTGATCTTCTGTTATAGTACAATTATTTACGTTCAGATTTGTTTTCACTTTTGATCCCGAAATTTTCTCAGATATAATATTAACAACAAAAAAACACACACACACACATTTATTTTTATTATCCGGGACGAAATAGGCTTAGCGCTTTCTGAATTCAGAACGACGATAAATCATCGCGAGGAAAATGGACGTTCACGTGTTTCGGCGGACAAAAGTGGATCATAAGATTATATCGCCAAGGGGTGTTGAAGATTAAATCATTTGTAAGGGGCTTAAGCCGGGAAATTTTGGAATGTGCCGAATTTTCGAGCTTTTAGAAGTGAAAAAGTGAAGTTTAACTTTTTTATTTTGCTTGTATGGGCGGATGAGCTCACAGCCCACCTGGTGTTAAATGGTTACCAGAGCCCATGGACATCTACAATGTAAATGCCGCCGCCCATCTTTGAGATATGAGTTCTAAGTTTTACAACGGCTGCCCCACCTTTCAATCCGAAGCGCATTATTGGTTCACAGTAGAAGTAGGCAGGGTGGTAGTACCTACCCGCGCAGAGTTACAAGAGGTCCTACCACCAGTAATTACGCAAATTATAATTTTGCGGGTTTGATTTTTACCTACGCGATATTATTCCTTCCCCCTGGAAGTCAATCGTGAACATTGCCTATAATAAGCGTAATTTTCATTTGTTTATCACAGCAGAATTATCAACATTGTTGGGATATAGTTGTAGAACGAATTATGGCAGTTTGTAGTGAGCCAAACTTATGCGGTTTGAAATTAGGCCCCGCCGTCAATTAACCCTCTTTGTTTTAAAATCCAGTACGTTGGTCCGACCAGATCCGCATCGTTCTTGATTACACATTTCACGCCCTTCACACCGCCAGAGACAAGAATAGATTTAGAAAGATCGTGCGTGCGAAGGTGATACAAAAGGGGTGGTAACTACCCTCAGCAAAAACGGATATGACGCAAGGAGGAGGAGTTTAAAAAAAATTAAGTCAATGGTAGTCCACTGAGTTTCTCGCCGGATTTTCTCAGTGGGTTGCGTTTCCGATTCCATGGTAGATACTGCGAAGCACTGCTCTTGCTATGGCTAGTTTCAGCAAGCTCGCTAGGTCAGAGCCCTGTGAGCTCACCTAAACGTTCGGTGAACCTAGTATAACTAACTCCTTGAGCTTACTAGAATAGCTTAAAAACAAAAAGAAGTCAATGGAAAAAAAAACTAATAAATAATATTGGTTTTGTATTAAATACGCCGATAGATATGAAATTGGGTATAGTTTATCTGGAAAATTGCTCATTATCTGATAACGGGCGGAGGGCAAAACTGAACAAAGACTTCGGTGAACCGTAACGGGGTGAATCAGAGTTATTGAACTCCGTAGACAGGGCGGTGATGACGATCTCGTCTTAATAAAAACACGAATCTTATTAGACCTTATAGCTACCTATTATATTTGTCGGAGAAGCCACAATTATTAACACCATCGTCAGACATCATAGGGGCGAATAAGGTGATCGAGCTAAGAGAAATATTGAGTACACCAATCACGTTTGTTGTCTTAGAACAATTTAGAAATCTTCTCTTGACGTTAGCAAACGAAAACGAATGACAGTTCTTAGGATGAGGCACCACTCTTCAAGAAGGTTGATTGTTAAGTGTGTAATGGCGTCTACGCGCCTCCATCGGCTAGGCTCTGTCGTAGCACGAAGTTAGCCGAGCTCCGACGATACTGCAATCGTGCTGCGTTTCGTTTAGCTACCAAACTAATGACCGTCTCTGACATATTTATAAGTAGGTAAAAACAAAGCAGTATCTTTTTCCTTTATTAGCTGTTTTTTTAGTTTGTAGCACACGACGAGCTGGAGAGTCATTTTTTCCCCTTTTACAAGAAAACAAAAGAAAGAAACCGCTAAACATAAATCGAATCTGCAGGTGTCGGAGATACTATCCAAACGAGGTTTGTGTAGAGTATTTGTGGCGGGTAGCCATCATACAACGCAAGATATTTGACAGATGCCTGAATCTCGCTTACGACATTTTCAAGATAAGCTTGCATATACACAAGTTCCGAACAACAACATTCGGACCGTCGGTCTACCGAGCAATATTACCCGCTCGGAGGAAGATCTTTCCTTTCGTCGTTAAGCCCCCAAAGTACTCAATGGTAGGCAGTGGATTAGCTGGGTCCACGGCATTGCTGACGTCCATGAGTGACAGTACCCACTCATCATTAGATGCGACGTATACTCTCGACGTATAAGGTTTTGACCACTTAACAAATAATAGCAGTGATTTTTATTAAAAAGAAAAATAACCAATAGAATAAGTATAGAATAATAAATAGTGAAAAAAATTTCATGCGTTATAATTATTCGTTATTCGTCGGAGAGTTATTTGGAATTTCAACATTTGTCTTGATTTTAGGCCAATTACCTAACCTAAGCTTAGTGCGTTAGTTTTAGGGCCCTACCGAGCGTACAACACTGGCATATTTAAGTCACAATCGGGCATCATCGGGCGCAAGCTAGTTAAGGTTACGCTGGAATAGCCTCTCAAGGCTACCAGCTTAGGTAGGGTAAAAAAAAAACATCGGGCGCAATCGGAATTCCCGAATGCGCAGGTGTCACTAGGTATCAGTCAATAAGATTCGCGCGCCAATTTAAAGTATAACATTAAAATAATATCTTCGTAATATAATATAATCAGTATCACCTAGTGATTAGCTTGTTTTTCTCCGTTTGCTGTTAAAAGGACAAACCCGAAATCCATACAAACTTGGGCCTGGCGTT